GCTGATAGATGATTGCTCGATTGGAGGGATAAACTCAACAGTTGGAGCAGTGGAGAAATATCGTGTGCATGCTATGGATGAATGCGCTGCTTTTCTGGCTTACATGGTTGATTTCACACAAAAGGGTCATAGCGTGGGGAGCATCTCTGGACGCACCTACGATTTGAAACATGCATCTCAGCAGTATGGAATATCGGAAGCGGATCGCAAGGTGATCAGGCTAGCAGTCCGAAACCCCATCACGGGTGGCATTTCACTTTTTGGTGTAAATAGTTTGCCATTCGGTGCCCCAGGATCAGTGGGTGGCTTCCTGAGGGTCGAGCTTAGCAATTTGGTTCCTGGGGGTTGCACTCTTCCGGTTGGTTTGGACAGCCTTTTTTGATGACTACATGGTTTTCTCTCGTGATGCTTTGGTTTCCAACACGGCGAAGACGGTGGAGACCTTGTTCGACCTGTTGGGGGTCGAATTCGCGCGAGATGGCAATAAAGCCAGCGCTTTTGCAAAGGTATTCAAGAGCCTGGGCGTAGAAATCGACTTGGAAAACTTTGAGTCTGGAATTGTACGCTTGGGGCACACAAAAGAACGGCGTGATGAGCTCAGTTCTGTGCGACAGGACATTCTCAAAGAGAGGTGCGTCACAGCCAAGCAAGCTGAGTTTATGCGAGGTCGTTTACACTGGTTTGAGTCTTTTGCTTTTGGAAGGGTGGGCGGCATAGGTGGAGTTTTGATTGACCCTTTGGGCAAAGTCGGTTCCTTTTTTGGAGGAGAAGTGCCGGACCCAATAATGGAACACCTTTTGACGAAGTCAAAGAACCCGATCTACGAGCTGGAGGTTCTTCCAGTCCTCATTGCGATTTGGATGTGGGGCAGCCGTTTAACTCTTGCACAGGTGTGTTGGTACCTTGACAACGAGGCTAGCAGATCCGCTTTCATCAAAGGCCAAGGGGCTACTTTGGTGGCGGGTGCCATGTTGGAGGCCTTCACAGGTGAAGAGATGCGACTTCAGATAAAGTCGTGGTTTGCCAGAGTCCCTTCTCTCTCAAACTTGGCGGATTCACCTAGCCGGTTAGAGGATAAACTCCTTCTAGACCTGGGCGCAGTGAAAGGGCCATAGGCTGGCGGGCAATGGGCAAGATTCTTGGGCTGGATCTCGAAATAGGGGATAGAACGGCAGCTTGACCAAGAACTATCTCCCCAATGCGCCAGTTAAAAAAGGGCGGCCTTATTGTGCGAGTGAGATCACTGTCAATTTTTGCAGCATGTTTTTGGAAAGATGCGAGCAAAGAAGTGATTTGAATTTTTTGGAGAAATTTTAAAGTTAAAGAAAAGAGAGAACCCCCCTCGGGGGAAAGGGGCAGCATGGTTTGATCGACAAGCGTTTCAGGACAAAGCGTATCGTGACATTGCGTGAGTATATATATATATAATATACTCTTGATGTTTTATATATAGTGCCCACGGTTTTCCTAGGACTAAATAAGTTACTCCTCTTTGGTACAAAGATCGTGACCTTATTTGGCCAAAGGAAAAATGTTTTTGTCAAACAAAAACATAGTGGGCAAGAGTCTGAATTTTTAAATGGACTACGCTTTGTGGATGTCGCTTGTGTTTTTTCCTGTTGTGTTTTTTTGTGTTAAACGAGAAACGGGAAACCTTGCTGCCTGAACTTAAACAATTTTTAAAACAGTGAAATCGTCAACAAACTCTAAGGGCGCGAATAAACAGCCTTATTCGCGCCCTTTGATTTTACAAGGAATAAGTAAAGTGAAATCAAACATGTCGATCTTGTATAATTTGGTACAAGTGAATAAATCTTCGAATGTCGAAGTCCTTTCCGCTCATCAGCCTTCGATGTGGTGTGACAACACCCGCCCTTGTTATCCCTCCTTCACACCACTAAAACTGTTTTGTTGGCAGACGAAATCCCCGAACAGGATTCGAGAGCCAAAACAATCAGTTACGAACAATAGTTTTTTAGCCTACCCCTACCGTTGATAGAACGGCAGCTTGACCAAGAACTATCTCCCCAATGCGCCAGTTAAAAAAGGGCGGCCTTATTGTGCGAGTGAGATCACTGTCAATTTTTGCAGCATGTTTTTGGAAAGATGCGAGCAAAGAAGTGATTTGAATTTTTTGGAGAAATTTTAAAGTTAAAGAAAAGAGAGAACCCCCCTCGGGGGGAAGGGGCAGCATGGTTTGATCGACAAGCGTTTCAGGACAAAGCGTATCGTGACATTGCGTGAGTATATATATATATATAATATATATACTCTTGATGTTTTATATATAGTGCCCACGGTTTTCCTAGGACTAAATAAGGATCGCAAACTTTGATTTCGAACATCCTTGGTTTTGCTTGAACATCGTCGACAACTGAAAAGCATGAACTGTGACCTTCCAGGGATGATGATGTTAGGAAAAGGTCAACTGAGTGGACTCTGGGTGGACTCTGAGAGTCAGGAACGCGGCTGTCTAGTCTCACCCTTGGTCCTGTTTCACTATCCGTTTCACCTTTCCTTCGACTGCGTGACCGTGTCATTGCTGGTCTTAGGATTGCTCTTAGCCTGTGAGGATTTATGCCCGTGTGCTCTGTGTGATCTCGGGAGCCCTGGTTTCCGCACCTGTGTTGCTTTTTCTCACATGTCTTTCATATGGCGATTTTCGTTTTGTTTCTTGTTCTGTTGCTTTTGTTTCTCGCCATACCAATCCATTTGACAATGCACAAGTCATTATCTCTTCAACTGTGCTGACCGGGTTAACATTTCACCATGCCGCTGGTGGCTTTTTGTGTGTTGGTTGTGTTTGGTTTTTGGTGTTTTGTTTGCTTTTGTTTCTGTTTTGTTTTCTGTTTTTCATTCGGCATCGTGATGGCCCCATTGGACCGTGGTTCTGGTCCTCCAACAGCACGGCCTCTTTTGGTTCATCTTCTCACCAAGATGGCATAATTCCCAACTACATTGATTAATGGGCCAGCCTAAGCATTGTTTTGGAAACAAGGTAGGAAGATAAATATATATGTTCAAAATATTATATATATTATTTAGATTTTATTTGTTTTTCATCTGACATATATTACATATAGTTTTTATATTATATTTTTATTGATCTTGTATATGATATTATATATATAATATTTATTAAATAAAAATTAACATATATATTTTATTTTATTTAAAATATATATATGATAGTTTTTTTTGACTTTATATATAGTATACATATTATATATTATATATATATATTATTGATAGTATGTGTACATTATATTACATTATGTTTATCGTATAAATTTTAAAAATTATATAGTATTTATATATATGATATATATTATATATCATATATATATATTTTATTTTGTATGCTATATATATATATGTTACATAATATATATATATATAAATATTATAGATTTTTAATAAATAATACAAATTTTACAAATTAAATATTCAATATATTTTATTAATTCTATATAATACATATTTTATATATGATATATATTATGTATTATATATATATTGTAAATTAAATATTATATAAATTATATATTATATTTAGATTATATATATATTATATTATTTATTAAATTTTAAATTATATTAAATATATATATAAATATATATATATTAGATATTTTTTGTGTTTTTTTTTTAACTTATATATATAATATTATATATATAATATATTATATTTATATTATATATATATTATATATATATTATATATATTATATATATATTATATATATTATATATATATTATATATTTTTGATATAATATATATATATATATTATATATTATATATCTTTTATATTTTTTAAATAATATATATATAGATTATATTATATATATTATATATTATATATGTATATATTATATATATCATTGATATTATACATATTATATATGTTATATATATATTATATTATAGATATTATATATATATTATATATATTATATATCTTATATATATATTATATATATATTATATATTATATATATTAAATATAATATATATATATATTATATCTTATTTATATATAATATATATAATATATAATATATATTATATATATTATATATTATATATATTATATATATTAAATATATTATATATATATTATATATATTATATATATTATATATATTATATATATTATATATATTATATATATTATATATATTATATATATTATATATATAATATATATTATATATATTATATAATATATATATATATATATAATATATTATATATCATATATATATATTTTATTATATATTATTTATAATATATAATATATATAATATATTATATATAATATTTAATATATAATACATAATATATAATATATTATATATTAGATATTAGATATATTATATACATTATAAATGAAAAATATTATTAATATATATATATATATTTGCAATGTAGTGAATTTGGGCATTTGGTCATTCTTACTTGAAAATTTTGCTGGCTAAACGGAAGTCATCCTGCAACCCCGCTTCGAGGAGTAGGGGTCAACTCGTTCGCCAATATTTCCCAATTTTGTATTTTTGCGGTTAGAAATACTGCGCAGAGCATTTCACAACAGGTGCTAATTTTTTGTATTGACATTTTCAACTGAAATGCAAACGGTTGCGAGAAAAATAATTTTCAAACAGTCCATTTGCAACAAGACAAATGTTTTTGTTCTTTGCTTGTGTGGTCATAATAGTGCAAGGTTTGGAAACTTATTGCCGGTTATAGTGGGTATTGTCAATCATGGCATGACGCACGACGCATGATGTGATGCACATGTGGTTTGCAGTGCACAGCGTTGGCTCAACATTCACAAACTTGGCTGCGGAACGACATGCACAAGGAATAACACCTTTGCAGCACACATCGAATTCCCCCCAAAAATGACAGAAAACATCAGAACACATACAAACTAAAATATTTCTGAAATGATTTATTCCAGTGTTTTTATAAATATTTGTAACGGGTGAATTCCAATGGCAGTGTTGCTGGGGACCCATGCCTTGCAACCGCCAAAGTGCTTTGATTCCTTGTACCTTGACGCAAAAAAATGGGAACATGCTACCTGGAAGTGCACGCCTACATGTTGCATGTTTGAACAATGCGTTCATTGCATCAAATTCATATATTGTGTTTCGTTGATGTGGACATCGCATTCTTGTTGGAAATTTCTTCATGACGCAGGTTTTTTTTTTGCCGGGAAGCGCTTGTTTGTGACTATCTGATCATGGAAACTAAATGACACTTGTAACACATTTCTTGTGGCATCGGCAACATAGAAAGGCTGTGCAGTTTGAATCTTGCCCCATGCGGCTTCAGGAAATGTTCCGAGAGCTCAGAAACCAGTCCAGTTCGATCGAGTACAAGACTCGTAGTAACTTGGCCGCTCTTGTTTTGTTTACGAAATTGATCATGAAAAACAACATTTAGTGATGTTATATGATGTTATGTGTTCCAAAACAATTGTGTATAATTGTGTAAATTTATAATTTCTGAATGCCATTTCCAACAGACCCATGCTCAGGATCTGTTTGATGATCAACTTGCTTTGGTGAAAAGCGTCCGCAACACGGATTGGTGGGAGTGCCCAGGGGCCCAGTGCGTTGCGCACTGTTTGGGAAAAAATTGTCCACGTTCGTTTCGGGATTTCACCATCATTTCCAGGCCTTCGGCCAGATTGAATCGATCAATGCAAAACGGATCTCATTTGAAGGTTATTTTCGATTTTGAATTTTGATCGCAGAATTTTGTGGGCGTTTGATGCAATGGTAGCTTCGCTTTAGTGCGTGCGAAATACTCGTTTCATGAGGTGTTGCTACCCAAATTGAGGGCATTGGATTCATTTGGATTCCATTTTCGGTGTTTTTTCCCTTTGAACATGGCGAAAATGGTGCGATTCTGAGGCTTGAGTTGATCCGAAAACTCAACGGCGACGGTAACGTCTTTCGGACTTCTGTATCGCTGCCACCGCCTGGTGCAGTGAAAATGCGTTTGTTTGGCGAGCCGCGCAACTGGGATGGAAAGTCTACAGTGTATACAGTTCCAAAATTGCAAAGTCTACATGACAAAATGTATGTTTTAAACAATTATATAGTACTTTTCAATACGTTGACATACACAGCTGATTTCATGCCAGAAAATGGCATTGAAACATGGAAGGATTTTGGTCAAAGCTTGAGCCATCGGGGTGTATAGTTCCAGATGCACATGATGCATATGTTTCACTTGCAGGATCACTTTGCAGAGTCTATAGCCACATACCATGGTATGCCATGGTATGCCATGGCTGACTGCGCAGAACTGAGGTACCAATTGTGCTGGATTGGTGTGGGATCGATCACAAGTTGACCTATCAGAAGCGTCCCTTGGCCGCCTTGGCCTCGACCTTGGAGAAATTTATCGGAACTTCCAGGGGGCATTTTGCTGTCTTCTCATGGCCATAGCGTGTCTTTGGTCCGGAATCTGGAATGCCAAGTGGCCTGTGCTACTTTTGGAATGTTTAAGATGAAAAGGCCTCTAGTTCGCGTTGTTTGCTCTTCACAGTATCCCAAAAGGGGCTGAAAAATGGTACCTTCTCAACAGCAGTGGGTTTTGGTCTGTGGGTCTGGGAGTGTTGTGCCGTCACCCTTTTGCACCGTGGAAGCCTGGAACTCTGGCCTCAAAAATGACCAAATCGGATGGACAAGGATAACCCAAATCCATCTTCGATATCTACCATGTCTCAGTTCATGACCAATTTACTGGGAGGACTGCATTCTTTAACATTATATAGATGTTAAGGGAATTGTTGAGACATTAGAACTGAAACAAATCGTTTGCTATGTTTGTATCGGGTGGTCGTATGCGAATGCAGATAGCTGGTTCCAGAGTTGCCATCTCTTTATGATTGCCGTACTGTGCAACTGTCCACAATCCTCTACACCCAAAACTTCAATCCTGTCCATGTCTTGCTCGTTGCTCTCTTTCTTTGTCCCGGGCGCAGGCTGTCGACCAAGTCTTGCAGTCAAGAGAAGGCATTTTGATGGATTATGATATTATGTAACTATAATGGGCAAATCACTATCCATCCATGAAATCTATTTACAGTATCTAGTATCCATGTATCTATCCATGTATCTACCCATATACCTACCTATCAAATCTAGTCTAACCTGATCTTACTCTAATTCAGGCTCTCGGCCTGTTTTTTCTTTGCAATTTCAAAGCTTCACAGATGGAAAACCAAGTTCCTTAAATTTAATCTATATATGAAGAGAGTGACAGTCCAACGAGGGTAAATTTGGTTGAGGGAGAAGTATACCGTATACCCGTGAGGCTTAAAAACCAGGGTTTCCCACAAATACACGGAGCAATGTTGCACACAGACAAGGTATATTTGGCCCAGCGGCTACGTGGCGAAAACAGAGTTTAATCTGACTCACAAGGCCGGAACGTCAACTTGCTGTTGGCAATGTTGGCAGCTTGCAAATGGAAAGTTGCAGCGCAAAGGCTAGTAGGTCACCGGACATTCAATGATGTTTTGACAGGTCAAAACTTTCATTTTCAGCGAGAGATTTCTATTTGCAACACGAATGTTTGTGGGTGCGGAAGACCCAAAGATTGTTGAAAACTCCAGGGCGAGCTTGTGAATGGGCGATCTTCTGCACTGGTGACAATCGACCGTTTGGTTGTCTCGTGGCGGTCGTGGCGTGGGATCAGTGGAATTTAGATTCAAATTTCAATAAATTTCAGGTATTTACGTGGTATTTGCTATTCTCTGGTTTCAATATGTTTCAGTTTCAATTAGTGCATTGCATTTCTCATATTTCTCAGGACTGCCAAGCTCTTTCTCCGTTCCCTCGACCGTTTTTCTGATTTCTATGGTAATTTAATGTTGGATTCAAACATGGTAATTTTTAATGTTATTTATGTTATTTAAATATATATATTTTTTTCAGTTTGAGTTTTCTATAGTTTTCACTATTGGTGTTTTAGTCAAACACCAGTAATTAGTGTTTATTTTTTCACAACAATAAAGTCATATAGTTTATTAACACTTTATAAAGCACTAATAAACTACATTGGTGTTTTCACTACTTTGACTTTATTGGTGTTTTAGTCTTGCGAGGAATGCAATCGCCGTGGCCTTACAACGAACGCGGAGACTGGAGAACTGCAAGAGGCCACAGGGGAAAGCCTGGCACGGTGTCAAAGCCGTGTCGCCTCTAATTTAAACTGATATAGGCGACATCAATTGTCATGGATAATTGTCATTTAACCTAATTTAAACATGATATTTCTTCCAATTATTCTGATTCCATCATTTTTGCTTCATTTTTTCCATTTCAGAAGTGACTTTTGTTCAGTGCCACGTGCGTGGAGTCCGAGGTTAGAAACACCATGTGACCTGTCCTGACAGGTGGCAGATGGAGCGACCATGAATTTCAATGAAATCAACTGGCGCCTCGGTAGGGGCCCGGGCGGTTCATCAACCACCGGGCGGAGAGTCGTCATGACTGGGTGGTGACTGGAACCAGACTGGAACCAGACTGGAACCAGACTGGAACCATTGGGTTCCCCATGGAATGTTGTGACTTTCCATATATTTTATGGGAATGTCATCCGTTATATTATGGGAATAACAAAAATGGAATGTTGGAATAAGATGGAATGTCATCATCCCACAAAAAATCATCCCAACTGACTTTCACTCCATCATTTTTCAGAGGGGTACCTTCTGGTAGACTAACATAGCTATTGAAAATGGCCATTTATAGTTGATTTGCCCATTAAAAATGGTGATTTCCCATAGTTATGTTAGTTTACCAGAGGGTAGGTTGAAACGACCAACCAGATGATATTTGTCGCCGATTTGGCGGAGTGGATCGACTCACATCAATATTTAAATATTTTCCCTATTTAAAAATATTAAATATATTTAAATATTAAATTCAATGAATCTTGCAGGATACCAATTTCTAGAAGTATTTTAATATTTAAAATATTTAAAACATTTAAATATTAAAAAAAAATAATATTTTAATATTTAAATATTTTCCTTATTCAAAAATATTTAAAATATTTAAATATTAAAACAATTTAATATTTTAATATTTAAATATTTTCCCTATTAAAAAAAAATGAATATATTTAAATATTCAATTCAATGAACCTTGCAGGATACCAATTTCCAGAAATATTTTAATATTTAAAATATTTAAAAACATTTAAATATTAAAATAATTTAATATTTTAATATTTAAATATTTTCCTGATTCAAAAATATTTAAAATATTTAAATTATTTTAATATTTAAATGTTTTAAATATTTTAAATATTTTAAATATTAAAATATTTCTGGAAATTGGTATCCTCCAAGATTCATTGAATTTAATATTTAAATATATTTAATATTTTTAAATAGGGAAAATATTTAAATATTAAAATATTAAATTATTTTAATATTTACATATTTTAAATATTTTTGAATATGGAAAATATTTAAATATTAAAATATTAAATCATTTTAATATTTAAATGTTTTAAATATTTTTGAATAAGGAAAATATTTAGATATTAAAATATTAAATTATTTTAATATTTAAATGTTTTAAATATTTTTGAATAAGGAAAATATTAAAATATTAAAATATTAAACTATTTTAATATTTAAATGTTTTAAATATTTTAAATATTTTAAATATTAAAATATTTCTGGAAATTGGTATCCTGCAAGATTCATTGAATTTAATATTTAAATATATTTAATATTTTTAAATAGGGAAAATATTTAAATATTAAAATATTAAATTATTTTAATATTTACATATTTTAAATATTTTTGAATATGGAAAATATTTAAATATTAAAATATTAAATTATTTTAATATTTAAATGTTTTAAATATTTTAAATATTTTAAATATTAAAATATTTCTGGAAATTGGTATCCTGCAAGATTCATTGAATTTAATATTTAAATATATTTAATATTTTTAAATAGGGAACATATTTAAATATTAAAATATTGAATTATTTTAATATTTAAATGTTTTAAATATTTTTGAATAAGGAAAATATTTAAATATTAAAATATTAAATTATTTTAATATTTATATATTTTAAATACTTTTGAATAAGTAAAAAAAATAAATATTAAAATAGTTTTATACATTTCTGCTGCTCACTCAAATTGTCCACAAATTGGATAATCACATAGACCCAATTATTCTCTCGTACCCTCCCCCCCTCATGGTCATGGTCCTGTATCTACGCTGTATGTAGGAGGCTTTGTGTCGGATATAGTTGACATGTCGCTAGCATATAAGTGATCGATGTAGGGTCTACTTTACCGCCTGTGGGGTGGGTGGGGGCTTGGTAGTGTGTCTTTGGCATGTAAGGCACTAAGTAAGTCGTACGTGGCTAGTATGTAGATGATCCATCAATCCAGTGTCTATTTCAACAGAATTTCAAGCCTGGTCAGGTATGAGTCTGCAAAATGCAGGACGTGCTTCAGGCTTAAAGACAGCTAGAGCGCGGAGATGAAAGAGAGCGGCAGCTGAAGCGTTGTTCAAGTCGTATTTCAATTTGATTTAAGCTCACTGTAACTGACCTCAGAACTGTCACACCTTTTTGTCAGCGTGGGGCATGGACTGCTGGTCGAAGCCAGGCTCTGGGTTTGGCCAAGTTGTCTTCACTGGCAATGGGTGGCACAGCGGGTGGGCCAGTGAAAAATGACAACAAAAACAAACATGTTTTACATGTTCATGCCAAATGTCATGTCACATTTGTATTGGAAAGATTCCTCCACTCAACTTGAACCAGTTCTTCGGTCGCTCACAACGTTCACTGCAGTTTCACTCGCTTAGATCGCATTCTTTCAGATCGCTTCTTTAAGCTCACTGTAACTGACCTCAGAACTGTCACACCTTTTTGTCAGCGTGGGGCATGGACTGCTGGTCGAAGCTTCCCCTCGTAGCCAGTTCAAGTAGGCCATTCCACATGCTGTCCAAATCGATGTGGTGCTGTTGTACACCTTTCTCAAGCAGCTGTTGTGTTTCGCCTCTTGACGGAGCATCCGATATGTTGGACTCCGAAGGAACTCTGCTAAACCAAGCGTTCCACCTCAAGTCAAATTCAAGTTGAAGAATTGCACAAAGAATTTGGGTGGCGTTGTCGCTGGAGGTCTGACATGCTATCAAAGAATCTTTCACGCCTTCGTTGTCTGTACACACCACCACCTGCGAGTCTCGCAACTGTTCAGACCAACATGTCATTGCCACAAAAAATGGCAAGAAGCTCGCATTCGAAGATGATGGTCTTCCGCTTGGTGATGTTCAGTTTTGCCAGTAAATCTTCAGTGAGAAAAGTTGAGAGGAAACCACGATACCGGCCCAATTGATCAACTATCACGGCACCTATTCCTGCAGATCCTCTTGCATCTTGTGGTTCATAGCACGCATCCGTGAAGATGTACCATGTTTGCCCAGATCTCAACGAAACCTCTCTTGGCACATCCATCAAAATCAGCTGATGAAAAAGTTGTAGTGCTTGGCGTGCTTCTGTGGAGATTGTTGGGCCACGTTCTCCATACGCATGCTTCGTGATGATCACTGAAAATGGGGTGACAGAGCTCGTGACATGCCATAGATGCAAAAGAGTGAGCTGCAGCTGATCTTGTTCTTGTGAAAGGTTTTGCAACATAATGTGTTTGTCGCGTGAGACTTCACCTTATATTAGCAAATGCATTACGATGGAATGCAACTTTCCTCTCAAATAGGGAGGGTGGGTGGGCGCCCCACGATTTTGTGGTTTCGTTTACCCACCGCCTTCCCCTTCACCACCTGCATTTCCATTTGCTGCTTCCGCAGTTTGCCTAGCCCTCTGCCTGACAGAGCTCGTGACACGCCATAGATGCAAAAGAGTGAGCTGCAGCTGATCTTGTTCTTGTGAAAGGTTTTGCAACATAACTGATTTCTATTTATCTGTTTATCTACTTAATTAAGTATATTTAAAACTTCCAATATCTATCAACATCTTTCAGCATCTATCAATATCTGCCAAAATGTATCAAAATGAATCAAAACCTGGCAATATCTTTCAAAACCTGTCAATACCTACCAGTACCTACCAATATCTGGCAAGATCTGTCAATATCTATCAGTTTCTATCTATTTCTATCTATATCTATGTATATATCTATCTATTTCTATGTACACATCTTCCCATCTTTTCATCTATCCATCTGTCCTTGTATCTATATACCAATCCAGCTATCTACATGCCTATCTACTTCTCTACCTACCTACCTACCTATCTCTATCTAGCTGCCTATCTGCCTTTCTACCTTTCTACCTATCTACCTATCTGTCTGTCTGTCCGGCTGTCAGGCTGTCAGGCTGTCTGGCTGCCTGTCTGCCTGTCTGCCTGTCTGCCTGTCTGCCTGTCTGCCTGTCTGCCTGTCTGCCTGCCTGCCTGCCTGCCTGTCTGTCTGTCTGTCTGTCCACCTCTCTATCCATGCATCCATTTATCTATCCATCCATCTATCTATCTATCGATCCATCTATCTAATCTAACCTAACCTAAATCTAATCTAATCTATCCATCTATTCATCTAGCTATTTGTGTAGCTATCTGTCTAGCTATCTACCTAAAATACCTATATGTCTATCTATCTGTCTATCTTAGGTATCTACCTATCTGTCTATCTTAGGTATCTATCTTTCTGTCTAGCTATGTATTTGTCTGTCTATCTGTCTATCTGTCTATCTGTCTATCTGTCTATCTGTCTCTCTC